CTACCGGACTTATCCTCCTTTGATGGAATAATCGGCCTTGACTTATTAAAAAAGGCAGGAGCAACGCTATGCCTAGCTTCCGGTAGCCTAAATTGGGGCACCGAGGCAGAGAAAATCAATTTCCACACGTGCACTGACGTAAGCTTCACCAGCGTGAACTGCTCAGATGCACCACCATCGGCAAAAGACTCGTTCTTGAAAATGCTGAAGACCAGGAAAAAAGGCTTTCGCAAACCCCAACGAGGCTTTGCCTTACAACACATCGGTGGTAGCTACCATCAGAACAGTTAGTGAGGAGCCCTTATACGCGAAATTATTCCCGTACCCCATGGGAGCAACGGATTTCGTCAACAAAGAGATTGAAGATCTGCTTAAAAACGGGATAATTCAGAAGTTGGTATCCCCCTACAACAATCCGATATGGGTTGTGAATAAAAAAGTGACCGATGAGCATGGCAACCGGAAAATGCGACTAGTTATTGACTTTCGCAAGCTAAACGAGAGAACCGTGTCCGACAAGTACCCCATGCCAAATATTAACATGAAATTAGGCAACCTAGGTAATGCTAATTATTTCTCAACGCTGGACCTCAAGTCTGGCTATCACCAAATCATACTCGCAGAGCGCGACAGAGAAAAAACTTCTTTCTCAGTGAATGGGGGGAAATATGAGTTCCGCTGACTACCGTTTGGTCTCAAAAATGCAGGCAGCATTTTCCAGAGGACCATCGATGACATTCTACGGGAACATATCGGCAAGTTCTGCTTTGTTTACGTTGACGACAAAATCATCTTTTCGGAAGACGAAAACTCTCACATCAAGCACGTAGATTGGGTTCTTAAGAGCTTGTACGATGCGAACACGAGAGTATCGCTTCCTTGGGTTTATAGGCACTTGTAACGGTGCTACAACAGACCCAGAGAAGGTAAAGGCCATAAAAGAATTTCGGACTTCGCAGCGATAGCGAGGCCTATATCGGACATCCTGAAATGGGAAAACGGAACAGTTAGTAGACACAGGTCACGAAACATTCCGGTTCAGTTCTCTGAGGCGCAACAACAAGCGTTCCAGAAACTACGAAATATCTTGGCATCCGACGACGTGATGCTAAGGTACCCCGACTACAAAAAGGCATTTGATCTAACGACAGATGCCTCGGCCCATGGCATTGGCGCAGTATTGTCCCAAGAGGGACGCCCAATAACAATGATCTCAAGGACATTGAAAGACAGGGAGGTTAACTACGCCACCAACGAGAGGGAACTCTTAGCCATAATCTGGGCATTGGCCAAGCTACGACATTATATGAACGCGGTTAAAGATATCAACATCTTTACCGACCACCAGCCTCTAACCTTTGCAGTATCGGAATCCAATCCGAATGCAAAGATTGAAAGGTGGAAAGAGCGCATTGATGAGTCAGGGGCGCGGATTTTCTACAAACCCGGCAAGGAAAATCTGGTTGCCGATGCATTGTCACGGCAACAACTTAACGTCATGGTGGAGCAAGAAGCTCAATCGTGTGCAGCCACCATTCACAGCGAGCTCTCCTTGACACACACAATCGAAACGATGGATAAGCCCCTGAATTGCTTCCAGAACCAGATAACTCTGGAGGAGGCAGGCTTTCCGTTAACACGCAGCTTCGTCCTCTTTGGAAACAAGAGACAGCATGCGATTAACTTCTCCTGCAAAGAGTCATTAATTGATGAACTCGCAGACATAATCGTTCCTAAGGTCGTAAACGCCATTCATTGTGACTTGCACACGCTGGCAATGATACAGGACCAATTGGTTCGGCAATTTCCAGCCACCAAATTTTGGCACTGCAAAAACCGTGTAACGGATATTTTTGCAGTTCCTGAGAGACGGGAAATACTCACCGTCGAGCACAATAGGGCTCACAGATCGGCCCAAGAAAATGTTAAGCAGGTACTCTCCGAGTACTATTTTCCAAAGATGGCCAAGTTAGCTACCGAACTCGTAGCAAGCTGCAAAACATGTGCGAAAGCCAAGTACGATAGGCACCCAAAAAAACTTGAGCTAGGCGAGACTCCGATCCTCTCTCATGTGGGAGAATTGCTGCATATCGATATTTTTTCCACGGACAAAAAATACTTCCTCACTTGCATCGACAAGTTTTCGAAGTTCGCAGTTGTGCAACATGTACACTCTAGGACAATCGAAGATCTTAAACCAGCCATACTACAAATCGTGAATTTTTTCCCTAGGGCTAGAGTAGTCTATTGCGATAACGAACCTTCGTTAAACTCACATACTATCTCAGCCATTCTTGACAACCATTTTGGCGTTATCATTGCAAATGCACCGGCACTCCATAGCGTCTCAAATGGGCAAGTGGAGCGCTTTCATAGCACCCTCTTGGAGCTTGCTCGGTGCTTAAAGATCGACAAGGGGATAACTGATACTGTGGAAATTATTCTATTGACAACCGCCAAATATAATAAGTCAATTCACTCTGTCGTTGACAAACGACCAGTGGACATCGTGCAAGAGCACGATGACCCACAGACGGAGGTCCGGAATAAGATCATTACACGCTCAGGACCAGGGAAAATGCCTCCCGACAATGCAGAGTATTCGAAGTCGGCGAAAAGGTGTTGGTAAAGTCCAACAGAAGGCTGGAAAATAAACTCACACCCTTGTGTGAGGAGAGAGCCGTAGAAGCGGACCTGGGGACCACGGTCCTCATTAAGGGGAGGTTGGTCCACAAGGACAATCTTAAATGATGCAACCAACAATGTCCTTTATGTTTTTTATTCATTAGTTTATTACACCTTCAAGCCACTTCAAGGTTTATAGCCACTGGCATAGTTTGATTTAAGTTCATTTTATTGATGGTTGGAAAACCCTCTATAAGCATTAAAATAGCTAAAGTTTAATTTCACAGGATCGGACCAACACTATGCATATTCCTGTCCTTGGCGTCGGCCAACGTTACTTATTATTCGCAGGCCAGGTGCATCCCCATCGTGGATGGTGAAATCCTAGTATGGGAGGAGTTCGCTTACGTCACACATACAGCAAACCTCTCAGAATATGGGCGCGTAATAGAGGAGACAAATAACATGATCGACATTTTTCCGCTTGAAGAAGCTTCTGAGCGTGGACACCGTACACCTCCAGGACTTGTTAGAGTTCATCACAGAGTAGCTAGGACCTTGGATTTCATAGGATCAATGCTAAAGGTCGTAGCAGGGACACCGGATGCCAGTGACCTAGAGAAAATCAGATTTTCTGCACTGAAGTTATTCGAGTCAAGCAATGACAGATTCAAAAAAAAATTCTAAAGTCCAAAACCAAATTAATCAGCTTACCTATACCGTCAACTCAATCTTGAGATCAGCTTAAAACTCACAAGTAGACACTGGACATTTATACGAGACACTGCTTGCTAGAAACCGCATGTTGATGACGGAATTACAAAATGTAATGCTCGCAATAACCCTAGCAAAAATTAATATTGTTAGTCCGAACATTTTAGATCATGAAGACTTAAAAACAGTTTGGCTTGAGGAACCCACCGACACACCTATAGGGGATCTTTTGTCCGCCTCGTCTGTAAAAATTCTGCTGTCCGTTAACATTTTACATTTTATCATAAAATTTCCCATTTTACTAAGGCAAGGAAATCCGCAGGTCAAATTAGGCAGATTACAGACGGCCGAGGGCGGACTTAACTTAGAGGGGGGAGTAGTTAACTGTGGTCAGCCAGACCTGATTCGTTGACCATAGTCAACATTATAATAACGCTCCGGCCAAACTGCTGACACAGCAATGGGCCGGATGCTCGTGCACAGACGGCAGACACTGCATATTTGCGTGGCCGCTGTGAATTTTTGTTAGCTATAAGTATATTCTTTATATTCAGCTCTAATTTGACATTCATTCAATAAAGAGCCACTGCTCACAAACTCAACTCCGACAAGCTGTCGTTAAAACCTTATTATTCATCACCTGTCTGAGTCCCTAGGCCAGCGGGTAAAAGGAGGGAAGTTACCCTCCCAACATAATCTTCCTAATTCATCATTGGGAGATCTAAGGCCAACCGGCCAGCAGCCAACAGTGAGCCTGACGTCCACCCCCCCTGTGACCACCTACAACTGCCAGTGAAGCTTGCTTTGCCGACGGCAGTTCCGCATTCATTATATGAATAACACTAATTTGTACATTTAAACATTTTTTGTTATTTTATAAGCAAAATCAAATGAATGTTGGCGGGAGCCGGACGATAACGATTGGTTTTAAAAGAATATTTTTACGACGCCATAATGTATCATGAACGTTAAGCAGAAAAATAAAAAATAATCTTTATATAGGAAAATGCACAAATGCACCTTGTCTTTCGACTGAGTTTTGTGTTTGAATATAAAATAATATTTTTTCGCTTTGAATAAAATAATTAATAAACTAACATACATAAATAAGTCCTACATTTTATTTTACATAGTTAGCGATGTTGTAAATAAAAGTCAATAGTCGCGAAATTGTCAATAGTCGGCGAAAATCATCGATGTTTTAAATAAAAAAAATTGGCAGTTATTTTAGTGTATTTTAACTTTATTTTAATTTGTAATGTTTAAAAATTAAAAGTCAAATTTTCAACATAAAATATCCATTTTATTAATGATTTATTAAAAAAATAAAAAAACGAAAAACAAATTAAAAAGACACTATTCATGATATTTGTGTTTCACTTCTTTGGTATATTGTCCTATCCTTAGTTTGTAAATAAAAACTAAAAGCAAAAACAAATTTCATATCAATGTTTCAATATATACATGGTCCAAAGAAAATAATAGTTCTTCAAGATATGATGATAGTCGCGTGCGACGCTCACTTATAAGTTTCCAGCTGAAAACTCCTTGATATTCGCACGATGAAGCGGGAACTCAGAAGTATTAGAAAAACATCGATGTTGCCGATGTTTCGAAAACATCAATGTCATCGATGTTCGCATCGATGTTTCTCTACCTCTACTATGTTTATCCATCTCTATAAAACATTGAACGATTATTTGCATTATTAAGAGTCAAAAGGACAATTCATGTAACTTTCTAGTCCTGCAGTATTAAGAATCCACAACTCCGATAGTTTTATTTGGCAATGCTCCTAGATTTAGCCTGCTCTACAATTTTGGCTAGGGCGACTACCTTGCGCACAAAAAAGTACACATATTGTTATTAGTAAATCGTAAACAAATTTCTTGAAACCAGTAGCGACGGTCAAATCGCAGGAAACTGGTATTGCAGTTTATTTATAACGGGCAAACAATTGAGTAAAGACCAACACCACTTAAGCCATTGGCCACCACCCCATTGTTACCACAATACCAAGGATACGCAAGACATTTTGGCCAGAGTCGGCGTACATATTTGGTGACGTGACGATAAGTTTACGTATCGTAAGTTAAAAAGTTATAGACTGTTAAAAGAAATACAAATTATTTTCTTTTATATTTAATAGGACACCAGACATAGTCAGTTGTACAAATGGAGCCATCCACGAATGTTGCCTGCATGGCAAATGGATCGTCAGTGGCACCAGCCAGCATCAAGCGAGGTACCCAACAGGGCCGGAAGAAATCGGGACCCAAGTTTGAGCTTTCTGAAACTCAAAAATCTGATATTAAGGAGGCCTTCGATTTGTTCGACAACGAATGCAGCGGCTATATCGAGGTCAAGGAGCTTAAGGTGGCTATCCGTGCCCTCGGTTTCGAACCCAAGAAGGAAGAAATTAAACGAATGATCGCCGAAATAGACAAAGACGGCAGTGGGCGCATTGCCTTCAATGACTTTCTTCACTTAATGACTACGAAAATGGCTGAAAAAGACACGAAAGAAGAAATATTGAAAGCTTTTCGGCTGTTCGACGACGACGAGACTGGCAAAATTTCGTTTAAGAATCTAAAGCGTGTGGCCCGGGAACTGGGCGAGACGCTTTCAGATGAAGAGCTGCGAGAGATGATTGACGAAGCCGATTTGGATAACGATGGCGAGGTTAATCAGGAAGAGTTCCTGCGCATTATGAAGAAGACCAGTTTGTATTAGAAAGTTGCGTAATACGCAACATCCTTTCATAGATGCATTCCGTATTTCCCCTGCCTAAAGAAAATCTTGTTGCGAGATTACTAAATATAATCCGAAATGCAAATGCGCTTTATGTGTACCCTAAACTGTGTTCCTTTAAGTCTCACTGATTGTACATGTACCAGCTAGGCTGTATCCGCCGGCTGTATTTTTGCACAATAATCTCAATATGATAGTTAATAAATAATAAAAAAAAAGGAAATCTTAATTTTTAAATAAAATATCAAAAATATCTTCTTCAAAATTAAAAAATTCATTATGTATCGGACATGACCAAACAACTGATACGGATTAAATATGTACATATGCACTTATAAAATAGATGAAAGTAACGTTGGAACCTTAAACTGCAAGGAATTCTCAAACACATTTTCGTGACGCATAGTGGTAATATTAAGGGAATCGTAAGGTTTGACAATTATAATATTGTGTTAAGCCAGTTACTAACATATGTAGGATAAATCCGCTTGAAGAATATGCCTATATATTTCGCTTGGTAACCAGTGGGACAAAAAAAATTTAAGAAAATGCACCAAAAGGGTCACACTGACAGCTAAAGCCAGCTGTTTTTTGGTAAACTTTATTAAGTGAAATTAATATTAATTCAAATATTTATTAATGTATTCGCTAAAGATCTAAGACAAATAACAGGTGCCAACCGAATATTTTCGAATTTGAAAAAACTCATATTATGGAAGTTGTCATTACGGCATTTACTTATTTCAACCTTCTCTTGCCGCCTACAGAACCGCTCCATGCGAGCAATGTGTTTATTTTTTACTCTCCGTCCATCTTGGCTTTAAAAATAGTTTTGATTTATTTATTTAGTTCAGAATGCCAACGCTTTAAATTTTTTGCTTGGAACATTTTTCGTACGTTAGTACCCGCTCGAGCGAAAAATTAGAAAGTAGTTTTTCTTTTCGCTACACTTTTATATGGAGTTTTAATGCTTAATGAATATTTATACCAATATTTTCTCCCGCTGTAGGAGAAAAGTTGTGAGGAACCAAACCAGTTGTATATTTAAAATGTTAATAGAAATACTCATCCCTAGGTTCCTCCCCAGTATAAAAGGAAGTGTGGATGTATTTTGTAGAAGTAATTTAAACAGCACTCGCCTTGTACTGGTAAACAAAAAGACTGTAATCGACGACGTGGTAGAAAAGCTGCAAAAAGTGATATACATATACAAATATATTTTACCGAGATGGATTTGGAGAATGGTTTCCTTCACGTGGCTTTAGGGGAGAAAACTTTGTAAAAAACTTACAGCATTCAGCAGTTGTGATATGTGTCCTGAATCTATTGGTGATCGCTATACAATACAATTAAAATTGTATACAATTTTTTTGCTTTACCACTAGATATGACCCCTAAACAATGTCGCTGGCTTACTGTTTTCCAAATTTTCAAATATATATATATATATATATATATATTATTTGTTATTTTATTTTTTTTTTTATTGAAAGAGCTCTTAAATTATATTCTACAATAAAGCGTTTGGAAATTCCCATAGTGACATTGCTTGAAAGCTTTACTTTTATGTTCGTTTGAGTATTTTGACAGTTCCATTTAATCATACTTCAAATTTGTGCGATTTTGATTTACTGAGGACGATAAGCTGGCCTTAGAATCAGGTAGCACCTTCAGGGGATAAGGTATGGCCATACAATTCTTGATAAAGTTACAGACACACTGAATGTATTGTTTTGGATACTTAGTGTATATCTTAACATGTTCGGCATCTTCAAAGCACACCGCTGATACCTCGATTCCTTGTTCGCGCCTAAGTCGAATAAAATTTTCCACATCTCGGTAAGGGATAACGTCGTCGCCCTTGGAATACAAAAACATCTGTGGAAACTTGTTGCTCTCGTTTTTCAGTTCGCAAAACGGACTGGGATGGATCGGAGACGAGTGCACGAACAGATTCTTGAATGCCGCATAGGATTCCTGATGAATAATAGATTATGGGAAAAGCTTTTATAATGTCGGTATTTATTAACACCCACCTCCACAAACCACATAATGCTCAAAGTAAGAGTGATGGCCAACGCAGTGAGGCAATTGCAGCGCTTCTCCCGTCCATATATGGCTATGATAGCACGGTATAGGCCCAACATTCGACGCTCGCCTGGTGCCGAGTCGAAAATCACACCTCGGACCTCTAAAGGAGACTTGTGATTGATCATGGCTAGGTTTATGTGTTGGTATAGGTAGGCACCACCGTTTGAAAATATATGAAAAATCAGGGGATGGGCATCGAAGTTCATATCCTGAATGAGCTTAAGAATCTTTTCTCCGATAGGTACCATTTCAGAGCGCTTCCAAAACAATGTGTCCACTGGTGCAGTATACCGCACTGTTATCAGGCTAACACATTATTGAGTAATATGAGTATGTGGAGCAGCCGATGAGTCCTTGGACTTACCCTCTATCCTCATAAATTTTTGAATACTTCATTAGATATCGATCCTTGCAGCCCGCCCAGCCTAGCAGTATTACAATTGGTACGTTATCTTCGTTGGCGTCGGCCAACCCCAAGTCGTTCTCAACACAGCTCTTCGGAAACTTAATGAAGTACTCCAAGGCGTCCTCCCGATCTGGAAGGGGCCGCCGTGCGGCTGGCGCCTGCCGGGCTTCAGAGTTGTGTATAGTGGCAGTTGCTGCTCCATATTGATTGGCTATATCGTCCACTGTCAGGCCATACGGATGTGATGACGGGGATGGCATCTCGACATCCAAATAGTCCTACAATCGTAGTGTGTACTACAATTGAGCAATTAAATCTTATTACAAGAAATAAATATGAAATTTAAATGTTATAAAATTTCGGATTAGCTACGCAAAGCCTACAATGAGCCCTACCTGTTTATTTTTATTTTTTTTATGACCACCTCTGACTCTTTTTAACAACAAATGTCAACGAATATAACTTTGTTTTTAAGGAAACTTATTTCAAACGATTGATTTTTCAATCAGGCCAGAAGTGCTCCTTCTGCAGTTAGAAGCAGCAGGAAGAAACAAGCCGCATTCCAGTGGAATCAGCCGTTGCGGCTGCCGCTTCCAATCGCAAGTGCTCTCAAATAGGTTGGACATGCGCAATGATGATTTCCCTCCACAAAATCATGCGTTACACTGACTACCGCAGAATCATAAAGGGCAGAAAACATTTTATATAATAAACTTCAAAATAACGTTGAAAATAGATTACATTATCACCACTTAATATTTAGAGCTGTACCGAGTTTCTCGACAGCATGATAGCTAGTGTGTAGCAGCTCGTGACATTTGTCTGTGTGGGCACCGCCGTCCAGAAAGTTGCTGTATACATGCTTTGACACGTCATTATCGGGAACGGAGCGAGGCAGCTTATTATAAAATTGCCTGAGCTCTTGAGTTAGCTCCCGCACATGCTGTCCAGTGGTTGGTCGGACCTGAGCACCACCGTTAATGCAGCCGGAAGGGCAAGCCATAACCTCTACAAAATTATAATTGCTTCCTTTACCACGCTTCAATTTTTGTACCAAATTCTGAATATTGCGAAAACCGTTAGCAATGGCAAACTTCAGCACGGCTTTGCCATCTCTCTCAAGAACAATCTCAAAGAAGTCACGATTCCTGACCGGTTTTAATTCTATATCTCCGGACGGCATGTCTTCATTAAAGAGCTCGCTTGCAGCATATTTAAATATGTGTTCGGCGTAACCACCAGAAAGCGTCGACTCATGCGCCCATACCATGGAGTCAGGCGTCTTATCAGACCAAGGCCAATCCAGATCTGCCGCCTCGTGCTGCGACAAAGAGTGCTCATCCTCTGTCAACATCTGTTCAATCTCAACTGTATAACATGATTTTGTATATAAATCTGAGATAAAATTACACAAGAGTTACATCTTAGTTCCTACCTGAAGTAATTACAAAGTCAACGTCTCGAGACGCATTCACCTCGCTGAAGAAATCCTTTCGTGAAGCCTCTAGCTTCTTGTCGTAACAGGGCATCACGGTCACATGGTAAATGCGGGACCCAGCAACATTCAGCTTCTCGGCCAGATACTGCTTTACTAAAACACCCATTATCTGTTGCGGTGACCGGGTTGAAGATAAATGTGGCAGTATGAAGTTGCCGTGTGTCTTCTCCGCATAACACACCCAACCCGGGCACGAAGAGCTCAGCATTGTCAGATTTTCATTGTCGCGGTAACGCTCTACGAACTCCTGCCGGCATTCAAGCAACGCCAGATCGTCGGCTACTTTGGTGGACAACACATAGTCGGCACCTAAACTTCGGAAATAGCCGGACAGGTACCGTGCAGCTTCCTCTGCTCCGATTTGATAACGATTTGCCAAGCTTAAAATGGGTTGCGTAGATATGGTGAAAACGACTGTTTGTACCTTTTCGCTGGCGCCATCAATTGTTTTCAGTTTGGTATTTTCCCTTAGCACCTTGAGCAGTTCCTCCTGGCTTTGCTGCGTAATTAGCACACCCTCGGCAGATGTTATGCAGCCAGAGCATGCCAAACAGTCCTGAAGTGTAATTTCTAACTTCTGAAGTTTTTTCTTGCCGCTCTAAAATACATAAGGTAACCATTATAAAAATATATAATTAGATTAAGCGGCTAGCGTTACCACCGACCAACCTCAGTTTTCTCATAATAACCATTTCCTTCCACTGTGATTTTAGCCCCAGTTTTTGAATTTGTCTTATCTATTGTCACTGGCTTTATACATTCCTGTGATAGAGACGGGGTCATTAGATACAAATAACCGACTTACACTCTAATCACTAGTGTACTTAACCTGAGAGGGAGTAATAAAGTCGTCTATATCTGTCAGCTGTAGTGCACCACTAAACCTGGACATAATAAGTTTTTAAAATAATTTATATAAAAACAAAATTGAGTTATTAAATCAGTGATGCCGTCTAGGCGATTTTTCTAATTGTAGGGCCTTCTATTGTAAAGGGTATCGATTTTTAAACTTAAGCCATTGGATCGCTTATACCCTGTTCAAACCGGTGGGCATTAGTTTTAGTATTATACTAAGATCGTTGAAATAATGTTTCAAGTGGAAAACTTAATATCAAAATATACTAGAATTGGTAATTGCTCGGTTTTTATTCGGCAGGATACTAAGAAGCGAGCAATTTGTGAGTGATACATGACAGGTAAAATCCCCAGAGACTACTGTAAGCCACAGGAATCTAATAGCCTAGACATTAATCGTTTGAAATTTGTCGTTTTGAGATTTGACAAGGTGCTGTCGATATATCGATGTTTTAATGTTCCAAAAAACAAAATAATCAATCAAAGCGATTTTTTCAACTGCAATCTAACGACAGTTTAGACTGACGATCTAAAAATACTACAAGTATCGGATAAAAAGTTAAGTCAATTCTATTCGATATCTTGACATATCGAATAAATTGAATCGATAACTTGGTGTATATTTGAAAGATAAGCAAACAGGTGCTAGTTTCACGGAATTTTATAGAAAACGCTTAAAAATTATAAACTAATAAAAAAACACAAAAAACTCAGCCATATTTAATTATTTTTCGTTTTAAAAAGGGCGCGAAGGTGAATTATTTATTTTTCACCTAGTACACCTCACTTAATCAGCTGTTTACTTTCAACACATCACCAAACGACGTCTCGATACATAAAATTGTATACTGTTAAATAGCCCCTCTGCAAGGTTGTCGTTTGTGTTTGACGTCACGAAATTAAAATGCGACAATATTATGCTGCGTTGAGACAGCTAATGCGCTACAGGGAGACCTCGATGATATCTTCAAGATTTAGGTCGCAGTTGTTGTTCCTGTCGTCATTCTCCGACTACACGCCCGCACATAGAAACTACTCAAAGTTTAGCACGCACCTGTCAACGGAGCGGGCTATGGAGTTGCTGTGTAACTTGGACGAAGAAGAACGCAGCAATCTCCGTTGTGCACTGGGAAAGATGGAAGCCGATAAGGAGAAGAAACTATACGAGAGTGAGTAATTTTTGGAATGCCTTTAATTCACTTAACAACTCATTTTGAACAATCTTATAAACTGTAGCACATACGTAGTACGTGCGTGGCTTGGGAGTGGACCAGCGCTGATCCAGGTTGGGGGCTGCAGGTCGGTCTACATTAGTCCATGTTTGGTGGCCTCGCTTTTAAAGCAAATGCCGTAGGCCTCTGCGGCCTCGCAGTGATCCTCCGGCACACTGATGGCAGCACAAGTGTCGCCAATTTCGAGGGCGATTTTAAGCTTGGTGGGATCATCCCCTGTATACTGTTTTGCTTTCTCGTGGCCGGCCTCGATATCCAGCTTGCCGCTGGAGTCGAGTAGCCCAAAACTCTTCATTACACATGCCCTCAGGCACTTGCCTTGATAGGTGGATGCAGGTTGTTTCTTAACCAGGTCCTGCAAATCGCTTTGAGCAGCACCGACTTGGCCCAAACAGGACTCGGCAGACTCCATTAGCTTGGCCATGGCTTCCTTTTCGTCGAAGCCGCGCACTAAAATGGCGACGCTAAGAAGCAAGACTGCTAAGAAAATTATCGGTAACCGTTGCATGTTGCTAGGCTTATGCTTCCACAATTCGACTAAACTTGACCTCTCCAAATGGGGTGCTCAAGCTTTTATAGCCGATTCGTATACTCGCTGGGCTGTGAAATAATATAGTATGGCCTTTTTCAAAAATTAACATTGTGAGATTAATTGCCATGACCGCGATTGTTTTTTTATTTGTATTATTTTTTTTTCTCCATTTCAAACTCCATCGGCTGACAAACTTGAAGTAATACAAGAACCGCCCCCAACAAACACGCATGTATGTGAATACGTACATATGGATATTCATATGATATTGCACCACACAGTGTGGGTGGGTTCTGAAAAAAATTATATACAGTGTAGGATCGTTTCCGGCTCTATAATAAATATATTTTTTTGATGAAATTCATCAACCGATTCGTTTTTGCACGGATTCTGCATGTAAGTCTTTATTTTTAAGGCTGCTAGATGCTTTAGTGACGCAAACGAATCTGATTAAATTATTTGTTAACTTCTTTTTTGTTAGTTTTTATATAATCTTCACAAATATGTATATTAGAATGTTTGGAGTTAGTGTGGTTATGACCACTTTTTTCTCCTTTCTTTAACATGGGTTTTAATAAATTATAATAGTAATATAATTATAAATGACCGGCGGTTCGGTTCGAACCCACGATGTGAAAGGACCTGCGGATCAGTTCAAACTAACGACCTTAGTCGTCTCCGCAAAGCAAGTATGCCCCTGCCTTTTTTTAGGGTTTTGATTAACATTTTAACTTTAATGTTTAACAAACAAAATGTTTATTATATGATTTTACTTAAACATTCAAAAAACGACTGCACCAGATCCAATAATTATTTTTATACCCTTCCAGGGTATTATAATTGCAGTCAGAAGTTTGCAACGCAGTGAAGGAGTCCGACCATTTAAAGTATATACATATGTACATTTATTCTTGATCAGCATCAACAGCCGTGTCAATCTCGCCATGTCCGTTTCTACGCAAACTTGTCCCTCAGTTTTGAAACTATCTGAATGAAATTTTACAGTTAGTCTTATATATACTCTCACTCTTATATATGTCGGAACGGACCGGATCGGACGACTATATCATATAGCTGACAAAGGTACGATCGGAAAATTTTTCCAAAAAAAAAAATTATATCTTTTTATTTTTCAACATATTTTCACTAAATTTGAGATATAGCCATTTTATATTATTCTTCAATCTGCAAAGGATTTATTTATCATTATTTATTAAACCCAAAACTACACAAAAATTTATTGTTATAGCAGCGTTTCGGTTTTATTATAATTGTGAAATAGGCGTGAGAAAATTTTAAAATAATCTTCGATTGCCTGCAACAGATATGATTTGTTATCATCACATTGTGTGCAAATATTTTTCGAACGGAAAGCATTAAAAATGCTAATTACTTTGTTTTGACAAAATTTGTTATTGTTGAATTATAGTAAAACGTCTTCTAACGATTTTAACACATATGTATATGTAGTTATGAAAATTATCTGACATGTTTTATTCAATATATTCCAAAACTAAGTAAATAGTTTGCGTAGACACTGATAGACAAAGATGGTTAGATCAAATCGGGTGTTGATGCTTAACACTAAATATGTATGTATTTAACAATTGTATATACTATACAAAGTGCCTTCTTCCCTGTGTTCTATCTTTTAGTACAATTATAATGCCAGGAAGAGTTCCAATTGAATTATTTTCCACTTTCTCTCTTATTTCACCTGAACCAATCGACTTTGAAAAAAAAAAACCCTTGTATGTATAAATGTCCCCTAGTATTCTACCTTTTGATTGGCTTATCTCTTATTACGACCAAAAAATCTTAAGTTGAACTTGAATTCCGCAAAAATAATTTAATTTTAGTCAAAAGTGTGCATGGAGACATATAGTGACATTAAAAAGTATAAATATTCTTGATAAGTTACAACAGCCGAGTTGTCATATCCGTCTAGTCTCTCAATTTTAGAAACTGTATAGAACTTTTTTGGATATTCTTCTATATATTGCAGGTAGGATATGTCGGAACGGGCCTAATTTGCTCATCATGAGTAGTGTCTACTAGTAGTACCTAATACTGCATTAGTAGTCACCGCCACCTCCAGGTGCTGGTGTTCGGCTGCTTCTCTTTGCAAATATTTCTACTTGATCTACTTACGGCGTTGGGCGGGTATCAAACTGCAGTACTAGAGATTACTATCTGTGACCACACCCATAGAAGGTGCTAATCAGTTTTCAGACAAGGTGGCCAAATAATTATTCTTGCTGTCCTAGATGGGAATTTAAAAGAAAAAAAAAAACATTTTATCGCATTTGTATGTTTTAACACATTTATTGATTAATTTAATGATTACATTTTTCCCACTTAATTTTGATTACATCGCTGTACACTAATGATAAACAATAACCACACTGGAACAACAAACACTCCTGTCTGAACCACAATCATCATACATCAAACCATCGTCGTGGTTTTCTTAGGTCAGTTGGCCGTTGGCAGTTGGCGCACTCGCTTCGGACGACTATCAAACAAGCCCGCGTTGGGTCAGGTTATTGCCGGGACATTTTGTGCTGTGCCCGATGATTGGCTGAGAAGAAAAATGGGTAATGACTGAGAATCAGCAAATACTTAACCCAAAGCCCTCTGCAAAAATGTTTTCTAATGAGACAAATTACACTACAATATTTGCTCTTCATTAAATGCATACTTTTCTCTTGTTCCCAGTCGAATCTGCAGCAGCTCCCACAGCTAGCCAGTTATACAGTAGTAAGTAACATGTCAAATAAGGATTTCATTAATAAATACATATTTACTTCGACAATAACTTTTGTTAGTATTTTTTGTGAATGCTGTTCCCTTTATCGCTTTCGGGTTTCTTGATAACTTTATCATGATAATGGCGGTATGTATGCTCTAATTATAATTAGATTACACTAAGATATAATTTTAAACAAACGTTTGCTTTCTTAGGGCGAATACATTGAATACTATTTGGGTCACTTTATAACGCTGTCAACAATGGCGGCAGCTGGCCTTGGTAACACCATAAGCGATATTCTAGGCATCACTATGGCCACCTATGTTGAAAACGGCTGCCAGATATTGGGCCTGAAGCAGCCCAAGTTGACACCAGCCCAATTCGAGCTGAAGTCCAGCAAGCGATCATCCAGTATTGTAGGTCAAACTGCAGAGCCATCGAAATAAGCTAATAATTAAAACAAAACTCTTTCCTCCAGGGTCGTATTGTTGGCATTACAGTGGGATGTCTGCTTGGAATGTGTCCCTTATGGTTCATGGAAGAAAAACCGTCAGAGAAGCTAGATGCTGCGACTGACTAAACTAAAGAAAGCTAGAGGTTTGGGCTATTTTGGCCAATTAGATGCGGCATTATTTTAAGTTATCATAAATCGACGACGATGGTTTTATTTTAAAATACTTTATATTGCCTAACATGCAATTTAAATAATTTATTCTTATTGGTTTTTCGTCAATTTGAATGAAAAGTTCTACGATCTGGTCATGTATTACGTAAACACGTATTTGGGAAAAAAAAAATTTTTTTGGTTAGATTTTAACTCTTTAAATTTGTGAGTCGCCTAATGGGCCAAGCTAAATTATAAAGAACTATAATCAAAGTCTTAGAAAATCAATTCACTTAAATTTAATTTATATGTATAATAGTTTACCAAATATGTATTTATATTGAGATAAAAACAATCAATAAGTTAAGGACTGTCCTCTTACCAAGCTACACTGAAAAGTGCCTATTAAACGTGCTTAAAAACTTGTGCCCTCTATACAATTCTAACCATATCCTATTGGCTTTACTCTTAAATTGACAAGAAAGGAAGCTAACTTCGGCCCGCCGAAATTTATATACCCTTGCAGATACAACTTCAATGACTAAATATTAATATAATATAAATTATATATACTTATGTTAAAAACAATGAAGTTGTTTGTTTGCTTTCATTTCCATAACCTATACATATTATATTTACAGTTTTACATTAACAGTTTTGCATTTTCCCCTATATCTAACGATCTTTTGTATGGTAGCTATATGATATAGTAGTCCGATTTTTATAAAATGTACACAAAATTGTAGAAAAATATAAAATGGCTATATCTCAAATTTGATAAAAATCATTTGAAACTGAAAATGTTATGATTTTTAATTGTATTAATTCCTCGATCGTTCCTATGGTAGCTATATGATATAGTAGTCCGATTTTCATAAAATTTTACACAAAATTGTAGAATATGATATGATTTTAAAATGGCTATATCCCAAATTTCCTATGTTCCTATGGAAGCTATATGATATAGTCGTCCGATTTGGCCCCTTCCGACACATATACGAGTGAGAGTGTATAGAAGACTAACAGCAAAGTTTCATTGAGATAGCTTCAAAACTGAGAGACTAGTTTGCGTAGAAACGGACAGACGGACGTGGCTAGGTCGACTCGGCTGTCGATGCTAATCAAGAATATATATACTTTACATGGTCGGCGATGACTCCTTCACTGCTTTGCAAACTTCTGACTGAAATTATAATACCCTGCAAGGGTATAATAAGAAAATACATGTGAACTAAAAAGTAGACAACAATAAAATTTGAATTTTCCAGTTAGAGAGCTTATTCATACAGAATACATAAAATTAAATCAGCTTTAAAGTGACCAGTTTAAAAAAATATGATTTTAAAATGAGTATATTTAACTGCACTGCTGAGTCATTGAACCTTTATTTATGTATTAAGATGCACAATATAAATAGATCAACTATTTTAAATCAAAACCAATAAGGAATTAGTCATTGCTTCGGTAAGCAGTTGCCAAAACATAGAAGCATTTCTTGTTTGCTGACAGCGTAAGTTCGACAAGATTCGGTTACTATCAGTTATGAAATAATTTAAATTTTCTTTTAAGGTATCGCTACTATACTGTGATTTAATATTGAGCCAGTAGTTTTGAGTACTGTCCTGCAAAATTTCACTATCGAAATTGTTTCTTCTTAACGGTAAATATGGAACGGAGAATTGGAATATTCGGTGCGTGTACTCAGTCTCATTTGGTATTGCCTGGGTGCAATACACTCGTTCGTGTTTCAACAATTCCTCTTCAACGTTCAGCGCATGCCAGCTTTCGTTGCACGAAACATCAGAGACGTTATCAAAATTATTAGCAGATCCCGGTTGCGATGAAGTTGAAGCCGTTGATGTACCCGCTGCGTCCCCAAGAGTCAGAGTGGTTACCGAAGGTGAAGCTGTAGATGGTCGGCGGTGCCACATTGTGCCTGGAACCTGGCTGGCTATAAAAAAGCACTCGCTAATGTTATCACACTTGCTGCATAGCTCAGCGCCAGAACGGAAAAGCTGTTTGCCAGGAATTTCGTCCACTCAAAGCTGGGAAGCAGTTGGATTAGCTCACTGTACGTTAGCCAGCCTCGCCGTAATCCTTCCCTCTCCGCCAGCGTTTTTTCCACACTGTTCAATTTGGCAAAGAAGTCCTCGTTAGAAATGTATATATTCCAGTCCTGAACAGAAAGAAAAAAAATTGTTTAGTATCTTCGAACTTAAACCCTTGCAACTCATTTTTATTTTTACCAGAAGTTTGCTAAGCAGTGAAGAAGTAATTTTTGAACCTATAATGTATATATATTCTTGATTAGCATCAACAGCCAAGTTTATCTTTCAATGTTCGTCTGTCAGATTCTACAAATTTTTGAACCTATATGAATGATACGAAGATAATCTTCAGACGATACCTTTCATTATATGAAGAGAGATGTTTCAACTTGTAGCGTTATTAATATACTCGAACTGACAAGCGGACATAGACAGGACTAAGAATATATATTCTTTGTGGGTCGGTAAGCTGGCACCCAATGGGTACTAAGTATAAAAGTTGCAATTTGGAAAAGACCTACCAAAATCTTGTTTAATAAATATCTTTTAAACAGTGTCAGATTAAAATGCTTAAGATGCCCTTAGACGAGTGTTTAGATGTAGAATATGACGGCTTGAATAGCCTTGCGGTTTCCAATTATAAAATTTCAAATCAATCTATTCCGGTTCATTAAAAATAAATATACCGAAAATCATATTTGTGATTTATCTAGCTTCTCATATAGCCCTTAGATTTTTATAATATTTAAACCATTATTTTTTTAAATAGCAAATATTAATATGCATATATGGGCAATTCTCTGGTGTCGAATGAGACATTCGTACGTATTCAAACTTATTTTAATTTAAAAAAATTTTTTACGTATAGCTCTTGGTTAGCACTATAATTGGTGCCAAGATCGATTTTGAACCCTTGTTCGTTTTCAAGATATTCAGTAAAATGTACTGCATTCGCACGCGACAAAAACAGAAGTTACATTTGCAAGAAACCAGTTTAAGCTCTGATTTCAGCGAAACGTGATGAAAATTGTATTACAATAATTTTTAATGAATTATGCAATGAATTATCTTAATAATTTATTTTGTTTGATTTTAAAATATTAAGTAGTTATTTTTTAAATTAAATTTTAGTTCCAGTCGCACGCGACATTTTAGAAAGCTATAATTTAAACTAGACTGTACGAATATTGGTGATCGCATATGTCCTTTTGCCTTTTATATTGACTCTTTGCATTCTCTGTGTGAAATTAGAAAGCAAAGTAAAAGCAAATTCTTTTGTTTAAGAAATTGGCATCAAACAAAACATGCCATTTGTTATGACTTTTTTTTATAAATATAACAAAAATTGCGTTCACGCATGTTTGACATCGATTTTTCGATATTTATTTTAGAAAAATTATTTTAGCCTTGATCAATCTGACCAATTTTTTATGTAACAATGCTAAAAATACAAGTTTTTAAGCAAGTTTTTTGCCGCGGTAGACCTTTCTGGAGAATTGCCCATATGTTGAAAGTCGACGAAGCTATGTCAATATTCCCCTTTTTAAAAGTTAATCTATTTATTTTTTTGCGGACCGTAAGTCCGCATATTTGTTGTTTTACCAGTTATCTTTAAAATTCAAAAGAATGTGGAACAGGCGAACATGACTATATCTGTTGATGCTGATTAAGAATATATGTATGTATATATACATATAGTTAAGGGCAAATTTTATGTGATCATCGTCAATACGTGGACGGCAGTCCACACTGATAAATAGTTTACATTTCTCCTACAAGGGGTTTTTGTGTTCTTTGACAGAAAATGAAATTTTAGATTGCAAGAACTTGCCGATAGAAATGTTCATAATTTAAAAATTAGTTCAAAAATGTATAGGTGTACTCAAGCTTGGAACCATTATAATACTCACTACAGCAGAGAGAAACTCTAGTTCCATTTCCTTCAGTCTGTCTTCTGTCATGTTTCCCTCCTTAGCCCAATCCTCAATAAAGAACCGTTCATCGTGGCCGGCATAAAACTTCGTTGAAATCATCTGCGAATATTAATCGGAAAACTTTTAATTTTTATTTTAAAATATGTTCAATTGCGGTCCACAGCGTTCTTTACAGGTTAAAGAATAAGTAAAAATGTATTATATTATAATAAGTTAAACACATACGTAAATACTGGGAATCTAATACTTCATTAATAAATAAATGTACATATACATAAACTAAGGCCTTTGCCGCTTTTCTGTTATAACTTCGCTAAAGCCATTGCTTTTTTTTTTTTCTTTTCAAATATTCATTCCAAGAATATATGAAAGAAAAAGGAAAAAAAGAGCTGAACAAATGAGCGGAACGAAATGACGACATACATATGTATGTATTTATATAGAAGCTAAATTATCACATTTGTCTTGACTTTTCGATTAAAGTCCCGACAGTGCACTCTTTGTGTATTACAAATGTATGTATGTACATATATGTATGTGTAAATACATGAAATACATACGCTAGTTGAGTGACTCAGTGTGCATTATTCTACCAGGTTATTAATCAACAGGTTACGAAGACATACATACATACATTTTGTATAGACATACATAGTAAATATGCCTACTCACCAGCGATACAACGAACAGCTCGTGGGAGTAATGCGACAGCTGTAGCCCGGATCTATCGTGTTCAAGCGGTCCAGGTAAATGAGAGCCATAATTAGGGAACATGGTGTTGCCTGAATTTTACCAGCGGCCACACAACTTAGGCGATGCAAAGAGTGTCCTCGATGGGGCTCGGAAAATATCTCAGATGCGTACTCTGCGAGGGGGGATGGAACAACTTTCAAGTCAGTGTCCGCTGTTTCCACGCCATAGTACAGAGTTTTCCGAATCCGATTGATAAAGTCTCCGTGTTGCATTACCTGACAAAAAGAAATAATAAAAATTAATTGACCGTAACATGTGTTTTCCTTCTATGTTGGTACCTTTTTAGGCGAAGCAAACTTACTACGCCCCATTTTGGCGAAATGTGATTGCCTAAGTTTAGAACCTTTGGAGGAATATAAAATTTGTTCTCTTATACTAATGTGATAGCGGTGAACGAGAATCGATTCAGTTTATTAATTGATCGATGTTTAAAAATATATAGAAACATCGATTTTAATAGAAGAATCGATAACTATTAAAAACCTGCAGCCACAGAAAAGCCGTCTTATTGTGGGTATTCCCTATTCTCACAAGTGTACGCCGAAACTGTCTGCAGAGTGTTCAGAAGCTATGACCTACATGGTAGGTTCCCCAGAAAGAAGAAGCGAGCTTTAATTGCTATCTATCAACATATACAAGCGAGCTTTAATTGCTGAAACGGATTTTGAGCAAAATTTG